TATATATATATATATATATATATATATATATAGTGTGATGGTCTGTGTGCGTCCGAGACCCAACGAGCTTTCCTGGGGGGTGGGGTTACCTCAAGGCATTTGCATGAACAAGGGATAGAGGTCTGACAAACAGACCTTGAACCTTCCAGGCTGGAGTCACAGCATGAGGTGAGTGGTCTCCGGAAAGACGGTCTATTCTAGTGGCCTCATACAAACCCTTGATGCCTCATGGTAAGGCTTTTGAGCTTAGTGCGTTGGCAGATGGCTCTCCGTCGCGAAGAGACTGGATCTTACCGTGGTGTGACGGTTTGCGCACCTCAGCGATCCATTGAGCTATACTGGGGAGTGCCCCCGCGACACTCACAGTCTCTCATACCAGGTTGGTCAATGGTTAGAGGTCTGACGGACACAGTCTCCTGGCCCTCCAGGTTGGGGGTTGGAACATGTAGCGACTTGTTCCGTACAAATGGTAATACATTTGTATTTCCCGCCAAACATCGCTGCCTTGCGCATAGGCTTTTGAGTCGAAGGCTTTGGTTGAGGACCCTAATCGTCCTCCTGTCTAGGTGTGGGCGCCCTGGCATAATCCCAGTCCTCGTACAACCATGACATTCACGACTGACAATACTGTCATGCTACATCGGCCGTCGGGTGGTGCCATCAGCCGGGTGCATACAGCAAGGAGAGTAAGCGAAAACAGGCTACTGCTGGCGCCTCCCTTTTTTCTCTTCCACATACTTTTTCTTTCCCCTCCCCCACCCCATTATTAACTCTCTCCTTGTAGGCCCAGAGCTTAGGACTGATGACTCCGTTCGTCATGCATCGATTTTGCGTACAGCATCTGCTCGTCACATGGCGCCGACATCTTCAGGTATCTCCAAATCAGTCCTCAAGCCTCGGCACGCAGTCTATCTGGCCGCGTTCAAAGTCCGCACTCTGAAGCAAGCAGGACAACAAGCTGCTCTTGCACTCACACTGGACTCGCTTGGCATTGATGTGTGCTGTGTCTCAGAAACGAGAATTCAAGATGCAAGCACAGTGATTGAGTTAACCGCCCCGTCAGTCTCCACTCGCTTCCGGCTACGCACCTCTGGTGATCCAGAGGCTGCTGCGGTGGGATGTGCAGGGGTTGGTATTGTGCTAAGTCACCGGGCGGAAGTATCCTTACTTGACTGGATACCTGCTGATACTCGACTCTGTGCGGTTCGTCTGGCAACGTCTGTGAAGGAGTCTCACAAGCGGCAAGTTGATAGATGTCTGTTTATCGTGTCTGCCTATGCCCCAACTGATTGTAGCTCTGACACCGTCAAAGACAGGTTTTACGACGCCCTGAATGCTCTGCTGCGGCGAGCTAAAAGCTCAGACATTGTGGTGGTTGCCGGAGATATGAATGCGCAAGTGGGCAGGCTCAGTGCATCTGAGACTCAATTGGGAGGTCGACATGGACTGGACTCGGTACGTACGGACAATGGGGAACGATTGCTTCAGCTGTGTGCTGATCGCAGGCTGTTTTTATGCAGTACTAACTTCCGAAATAGCCGAAGTCATCTGGCCACTTGGTGTCCTCCAACGGCAGGCCAGCGACAAACCCAAATCGACCATATTGCCACCAGTTACCGATGGCGCGGATCCATAACTGACTGCCGGTAGTTTTGGAACACATTTGTGGACTCTGACCACGAGCTCGTCCGGAGTCGCTTCTCCCTACGTTTCCCGGGGCCAAGTAAGGTGCGGACGAACCGTCTGGCAACTTAAAGACTGGCGGATCCGGATGTCAGACGGACTTACCAGAATCACCTTCTAGAGTCTCTTCCAAATGCTCCACCATCAAATAAGAACTCATACTGGGACGAGATTGCCATCTCTTTGCATAGTGCTGGGAATTTTGCCTGTGGCACGACCCAACCAGGCACACGCAAGCACTGGATATCAGACCGAAGGGTGGTACTACTTAAATCTCGAAGATATAACCCAGCCGGTCCCGAACATAACCCGGTACGAAGAGTTATCAGACGCCAAGTGAAAGTGAGCTTGCGATCTGACCGTGAAGTATGGTGGACACAGAAAGC